GATTGAAGAAGTTGGTAGAATTCTTCTATTTCTTCCTCACTGGCTTTAGTGGTTGGTGCGTAAATTTGAATAATAGTGGTATTTATTGATCTTCCCTGTAGGCACATGGATATTATCCTATCACAGACAGCATTATACCTCATGACTGATCTGGATAGGTTCTTTTTGATAATGAATGCAACACCATTCCTCTTGAGTTTGTCATTTCCGGCACAGTAAACCATGTGGTCATAAGATTCAAAATGGCCAATACCAGTCCATTTCAGCTCACTAATGCATTTCACTTCATTTTTGACAGCTTCCAATTTTCCCAGATTCACACTTCGTACATTCCATGTTCCGATTTTCAATGGATGTTTACAGCTGTTTCTCTTCATTTTGAGTTGTGCCCCCTCATCAGATGAAGGTTCTGTGTGTTTTTCTCCTATGGGCTTTACTCTATTCGCATCATCACGGTCAACTGTACTTTGAGGAGACAGCTCTTCCCCAGTCGCATTTTGAGTGCCTTCCAACCTGAGGGGCTCATTTTCCGGCACTATATCTTACAGTGTATCTCTGCTATTCATAAGATTTTCAGTGAGTAAATATTTGGAAGTAGTTCGTCACTCCTTCTTTCTAGTCTGTTTGTCTGGAAGCTCATCTGAAACTTGTCCACCGTGGGTGACCCTGCTGGTATTTAAAATACCCGTGGCATAGCTTTCAGAATCACAGCAACTCACAAGCCACTACAGTATGACAATCTGACAGACGAGTGGTGGCACATCTAATTCTATCTGAATGGTGCTCTTATAAAAGAGGAGAAGAGACACAGACAGAGGTTAGATGGTCATGTGACCACAGAGGCAGAGACTAGAGTGATGTACCCATGAGCCAAGGAACACCTGTGGCCACCGGACACTGAAAGAGGTGAGGACTCATCCTTCCTTGGGGCCCTTGGTGAAAGCATGACCCTGTTGACCACTTGATTTTGGACTTTAGGCCTCCAGAACTGGGAGCAAACATAATTCTGTTGTTTCACACCATCTAGTGTGTTCCTTTCCATAGGGCACCCCAATATGTTGTGGAATGTTTGTGGCATGTGCTGCCACACATCACATGTGCTGTGACTTGTTATGGTAAACTATGACACTCGTGTCATGTCATGTCATGTTACGATGTTATGCTAATATCGTAATGTGCATGTTGTGGTGTTCTGTTACATGTTTTGTTGTGACATGTTATAACATCCCATGGTGTGTTGTGGCACATCACACATGTTGCAACATATTCTGGTACATTGTGACACTTGTGGCATGTCATGTCATAACATGTTATGATGTGCCATGATATGTTGTGGCATGTTATGACATTGCGTATGTTACAGTGCATGTTGGCAGGTTGTGGTATGTCATAGTATGTTATAGTGTGTCCTGGCATGTTATGGCAGCCCAAGATGGTCAAAGGTCATGTTCCCCATGACTCTGAGCTGTGGGAGTCAGGTGCAGGCCTGTCTCTTCATTCAGAGCACAGGGACACTGCAGACAACTGCTAGCAAACAGAAGAATAATCGAGGGCAGGTGGTAACCACATGGGTCTTCATCACAGAGCAAGCAGTGCAGCTGTTCTCGTTCCTGAGCCACTGCGTCCCAGTACCAACCACAAGGCTTTAGACTAGAGCTGCATGGCCCAGAAGAGCAGCTCCATGTGGTGTCTAAATGGCAGAGGCCATGATGATAGGAACTTGCTCTGTTCTGGAATCCTAGCCCTGTCCCTTATTAGCTGGGTTCCGGGGGTGGGGGTGGGTGGGTAACTTAACTTCTCAGGGCCTTAGTTCTCATCAATAAATGACAGAAGGATGCCTTCCTCACAGGTGTGAAGTTGTTATTATGAATTTTCACTGTTGGGATCTGTTTACTGCTCCCTTTTCCAGAAGTTTCTGGTACTCAATTCCCCCAGAGAAGATGGGAGCTGAGGTCTGGAACTGGACCTGGTTTACCCATGGGGTGTCTGTGGGGCTAGGGGAGACGGCTGAGGAGAGTTCAACTCTCATTAGGGCTTTAAGCAGCAGGACTCACCAAGACCCTGTCTCATCACCCGCATCAGTGTATGCTACAGCGGTGGATTTGTGTCACTCTGAGATTATGTTATTGACCCCCATAGAGGACAGGCTCTAGTGGAGCTTCCCAGACTCAGACTGGGAAGAAAAGCCTGTTGACGTCATTTTGAAAGTTAGCCAATGAAAACCCTGCAGATCACCACAGCATATGGTTCACTACGGTGTTAGAAGATCAGATCACCGCAGCACATGGTTCACTACGGTGTTAGAAGATCAGATCACTGCAGCACATGGTTCACTACGGTGTTAGAAGATCAGATCACCACAGCATACGGTTCACTACGGTGTTAGAAGATCAGATCACCGCAGCACACGGTTCACTACGGTGTTAGAAGATCAGATCACCGTAGCACACGGTTCACTATGGTGTTAGAAGATCAGATCACCGCAGCATATGGTTCACTACGGTGTTAGAAGATCAGATCACCGCAGCACATGGTCACTACGGTGTTAGAAGATCAGATCACCGCAGCACACGGGTCACTACGGTGTTAGAAGATCAGATCACCGTAGCACACGGTTCACTACGGTGTTAGAAGATCAGATCACCACAGCATATGGTTCACTACGGTGTTAGAAGATCAGATCACCACAGCATATGGTTCACTACGGTGTTAGAAGATCAGATCACCGTAGCACACGGTCACTACGGTGTTAGAAGATCAGATCACCGCAGCACATGGTCACTATGGTGTTAGAAGATCAGATCACCGCAGCACATGGTTCACTACGGTGTTAGAAGATGAGTCCTTAGATTGTAAGGGATTCAAAATACATAGTAGCCGCAACCATGGACTTGTGCCGACCAATGATCCTGAAGATGGTGCAAGAGCGGGCAGCATTTTGTTCTGTTGTACATGGGGCTTCACGAGTCTGAGCCAGCTGGATGCAACTCACAGCAAGGACAACCACGTAGCCACATCAAGCACTTGGTTTGCCATCCCCTGGTTATCTGGGTTGTAAAGGACATTTTCTAAGACTGAGAGGAGGTTTCTAGCACATTTTCACCCTCTCTCTGATGAGTGCTGCTTCTCCCAAGACTTGGCCGGGGTTAACCTAGTTCCCAGTTAAGCAAACAGTCAGCGGCTACTCTCCAGCTTCCACCCTTGTCCTGGCATAGGACCATGGGTAAAAGATTACTTCAACTTGGTCACCTTCCAGCAGTATCATGCTTGGACAGCAACTTGACTGAAAACCACCCCATTTCAAATAAATAATTGAGCCTGGACGCTGAGGCACCACAGGCTGGCCAGAGCGATGTGGCTTTTGACGTTACCATGCTCACCATAGATGATGTCCTGGAACAGGTTGGGGAGTTTGGCTGGTTCCAGAAGCAAGCCTTTCTGACTCTATGCCTGCTGTCTGCTTCCTTCGCCCCCATCTACGTGGGTATTGTCTTCCTGGGCTTTACTGCTGACCACCACTGCCGGAGTCCAGGGGTGGCTGAGCTCAGCCAGCGGTGTGGCTGGAGTTGGGACGAGGAGCTGAACTACACGGTGCCTGGGCTGGGGGTCACAGGCGATGCCTTCACCCGCCAGTGTCTCAGGTATGAGGTGGACTGGAACCAGAGCACCCTCGGCTGCGTGGACCCACTGGCCAGCCTGACCACCAACAGGAGCCACCTGTCGCTGAGCCCCTGTGAACATGGCTGGGTGTACGACACATCCGGCTCCTCCATTGTGACCGAGGTGAGAACATAAGCTGCCATTTTGGGAAACTTGAGGGCTCTTGGGGCAGGGTGCACATCCTATAGAGTTTGCTCCATGTTAGCAAAGGGGATGCGAGCTGTATGTACTGAGCACTTGTATTTACTGACACACTCCTCTGTGTGTCATAGGAGCCCTGGTGGGGCTGTGGCTAAGGAGTTCAGCTGCTGACCACAAGGTCAGTGGTTCAAACCCACCAGCTGCTTTGCTGTAAAAAGGTGAGGCTGTGTGCTCTTGTAAAGATTTACTATGTCCTACAATGTCTCTGTGAGTCCGCCGTGGGTTTGCTGTTGTTGCTGTGGGCAGCCTCTGTGCTGAGCACTCTGTGTATTTCTCTTGGTCAATGTCCCACTCAGCTCTGGGTGCTAGAGGACGAAGCCGAGGGTCAGAGACCAACACAAGCCAGGCTGACTTGAATTGTTCGGACAGGAGTCCACAGGGAGACCAAGGCTTCTTTTCCCTCCCTCTCTCCCTATAGTTTCCTCCTAGAGCTCCCAGAATTTACTCCAGATACTGCTCCCCCATCATGGATAGGGTGCCTAAATGTGCTGGCTTTGGTGTAGAAGAAGCCCTTTTGGTGCCATGGGTTAAGCATTGGTGGTTCAAACCCAGCAGCCACTCCAAGGGAGAAAGATGAGGCTAACAGCTCCCATAAAGATTTACAGCCTCCTTGGGAACCCTAGGGAGCACCTCTACTCTGTACTATAGGGTCACTTTAAGCCAGAACCAATTCAATAGGTTTGGTTTTTGGTTTGGGTGGTGATATAGAAGTGTCAGGTGACTCAAACTATTTACTCTCGACTGCTCTGGTAGCGTAGTGGTTACGAATCGGGCTGCGAACCTTAAGGCCAACAGTTCAAAACTACCAGCTGTTCTGCGGGAGAAAGATGAGGTGTTCTGCTCCCGTAAAGATTTACAGCCTCGGAAACCCTGTACAGGGTCGCAACCGACTCGAAGGCACTTAACAACAACAACAAAACAAATAATCTGAGAAGCTGGGTTATATGAAGAAAAACGAAGCATCAGGATTGGAGGAAGGCTCTTTAACAACCTGTGATATGCAGATGATACAACCTTGCTTACTGAAAGTAAAGAGGACTTGAAATATTTACTGATGAAGATCAAAGAGCACAGCCTTCAGTATGGATTGCATCTCAATGTCAAAAAAACAAAAATCCTCACCACTGGACCAATAAACAACATTCTTATAAATGAAGAAAAGATTGAAGTTGTCAAGGACTTTATTCTTCTTGGATCAACTATCAACACTCATGGAAGCAGCAGTCAAGAAATCAAAGGACATATTACATTAGGCAAATCTGCTGCACAGGAACTTTTTAAAGTGTTAAAGAGGAAAGATGTCAGCTTGAGGACTAAGGTGCAACTGACCCGCGCCATGGTATTTTCAATAACTTCATATGCATGCGAAAGCTGGACAGTGAATAAGGAAGACCATAGAAGAATTGATGTTTTTGAGTTATGGTGTTGGAGGAGAATATTGAAAGTGCCATGGGCTGCCAAAAGAACCAATAGATCCATTTTGGAAGAAGTGTAGCCAGAATGCTCCTTGGAGGATCCAGTCACTGGAGAGGGATATCATGTTTGGTAAAGTGGAGGGTCAGAGAAAAAGATGAAGATTGCCAGTGAGATGGATTGGCAAAGTGGCAGCATCAATGGGCTCAAACGTGGCAACGATGGTGAGGTTGGCCCAGAATCGGGCAGTGTTTCATTCTGTTGTACATAGGGTAGCTATGAGTCACTACAGACTTGATGGCAGCTAACAACACCAACTAATGGAAAAGTTGGTGGTTTGAACCACTTTCACCACTGAAGAAAGGCCTGGCGATCTACTTCTGTGACCATCACAAACCAAGAAGACTCCATGGAGCTCAGTTCTACTCTGTAACACCGTAAGGTGCCATGAGTAGGAATCGGCTCAGTGACTCTGGGTTTGGTTTGGCCTGGGTGGTGATGTGTGGAACTTCCCTTAGCTTTGGAGTCATCAGACTCTTTGGGGGAATTCCAGTCTCATTTTTTATTAGCTGAGCACTATTAGGTAAGTTGCATAGCTTCTCTGAGCCTTAGTTCTCTGATTGCCTACCTTACAGTTCAATGGTGAAATTTCAAAGTGTTACCCAAACATACATGGAATTACACTCTGAAGTTCCACATGTGGCCCCTGGGGATGGGCAGTGGAGTCAAGGGGCCTTGCTTGGATGCTTTAGTTGGTTATTTGACCATTTTGCTTTGAGGACAATTTAATAGAATGACACAGTCATTTTCAGAAAAGGACATGGAAGGAAGGATATCATAGTTGACATCAGATGGATCTTAAAAGCAGAGAATATTAAATATATCATGGACTGCCAGAAGAACAAACAAATCTATCTTGGAAGAAGTACAGTCAGAATGCTCTTAAAAGCTAGGATGTTGAGATTTCTTCTCATGTACTTTGGACATATAATCAGGAGGGCCCAGTCCCTGGAAAAGGATATTATGCTTTGAAACGTGGATGGTCAACAAACAAAAGGAAGATCCCCCAACAAGATGAATTGACACAGTGGTTGCCACAATGGGCTCAAACATAACAATGGTGGGGATGGTGCAGGACTGTGTTCTATTCTTTTGTACACAGGGTCACTATGAGTCAGAAATAACTTGATGGCACCTAACAGCAACACCTTGCAAGTAAAATTTTGCTAAAGATAGCTAAAAAGTGGCTGCAACAGTACATTGACAGGGAACTGCCAGAGGTTCAAGCCAGATTCAGACAAGGACATGAAATGAGAGATATCATTGATGATGTGTGATGGATTTTGACTGAAAGCAGACAATACCAGAAAGATGTTTACCTGTGGCTTTATTGACTATGCAAAGGCTTTTGACTGTGTTTAGATTATGATAAGCTATGGATGACATTGGGGAGAATGCGTATTCTGGAACACTGAATTGTTCTCATGAGGAACTTGTGCATACATCAAAAGGCAATCGTTTGAACAGACCAAGGGGACACTTGTTGTTGTCAGGTGCCATCGAGTCGGAACCAACTCATAGCGACCCCATGCACAGCAGAATGAAACAATGTCCGATCCTGGGCCAACCTCACTACTGCTGCCACACTTGAGTCCATCAATGATGCCACCTGGCTGATCCATCTCGTTGGGGGTCTTCCTCTTTTTCTCTGACCCTCCACCCTACCCAGCATGACATCCTTCTCCAATGATTGCTTCCTCCGGACAATATGTCCAAAGTAGGAGAGACGAAGCTTAGCCATCCTGGCCTCCAAGGAGCACTCTGGCTGCACTTCTTCCAAAACAGATCTATTGGTTCTTTTGGCGGTCCATGGCACTTTCAGTATTCTCCTCCAACACCACAACTCAAAGGCAAAGGGGACACTAGATGGTTTAAAATTGGGAAAGGTGTGTGCCAGCGTTGTATTCTTCCACCATACAATTCAATCTGTATGTTAAGTAAATAATCCTAGAATCTGGATTACATGAAGAAGAATGTGGCATCGGAACTGGAGGACAGCTCACTAACAACATGGAATATGCAGATGATCCAACCTTGCTTGCTGAAAGCGAACAGGGCTTAAAATACTTACTGATGAAGATCAAAGATCACAGCCTTCAGTATGGGTTGCACCTCAATGTAAAGAAAACAAAAATTTTCACCACTGGGCTATTAAAAAATGTCATGATAAATGGAGAAAAGATTGAAGTTGTCAAAGACTTCATTTTGCCTGGACCCACCATCAACACTCATGGAAGCAACCATCAAGAAATCAAATAATGGATTGCATTAGACCTTATGCATAGCAGAACATGGCACTTAACAACAAAAAAAAATTGCATTAGACAAATTTTCTGCTGCACAAGACCTTTTTAAATTGTTCAAGAGCAAAGATGTCAGTTTGAGGACTAAAGTGCATCTGACCCAAGCCATCATATTGTCACTAGCCTCATATGCATGTGAAAGTTGGACAATGAATAAGAAGACCACAGAAGAATTGATGCATTTGAATTATGGTGTTGGAGAAGAATTTTAAAGATACCATGGACTGCTAGAAGAACAAACAAATACAACCAGTATGCTTTTTAGAAGCCAAGATGACCAGATTTTGTGTCTCATACTTCGGACATATTATCAGGAGGGACCAGTCTCTGGAGAGGGACATCAGACTTGGTAAAGTGGAGAGTAAGTGAAAAAGGGAGAGCCCCCCGATGAGATGGATTGGCACAGTGGCAGCAACAATGGATTTAAACATAGCAGCAATTGTGGGGACGGTGTCGGACCAGGGGGTGTTTTGTTCTGTTGTACATAGGGTTGCTATGGGTCAGAACCAGCTTGACAACCCCTAACAAAACAACAGCAAAAACAGGTGTCTTAGTTATTCTACTGCTGCTATGACAGGAACCACAAATGACGGTTTCATCAAACAGAAGAAACAAGAGATTGTTCTCTCACAGTTTAAGAGGCTAGAAGTTCAAATATAGGGCACCAGCTCTAGTCAAATGTTTTCTTTTTGTGTCAGTTCTGGGGAAAGGCCCTTGTCTCCTTTCAGTATCTGTAGGCTCAGAATTCCTTGGAAATCTCCATGTGTCTTGGCATGAATCTTGCCCTAAGTCTAGGAGTTTCTCGGTGACAGGACCCCAGGTTCAAAGGATGCACTTCACTCCTGGTCCTTCTTTCTTGGTGGTAGTAGGTCACTCTGGTCTCTGCTCACTTCTCACTCCTTTTATTTCTTGTAAGATAAAGGTTTTGCAGAGCACACTCTGGGGAAACTCCCCTTCCATTGGATCAAAGTCATGATGATATTAAGGATGTTGCATTCCCATTTAATCTTGTTACACCTGTCTGCTTTATTATATCAGATCACATTATGTGGGGTCATTATTACATAGTTGCCACATGATGCCATTATATCAGTGCCAAACCAAAGAATTATGGTCCAGTCAAATTGGCACAGATTTTGGGAGAAC